GTGCTGGGATTAAAGGCGTGCGCCACTAACGCCCGGCCACCCTTGAACTCTTAATCTACCTCTTTTCTTTCTTTGAGTGTGTGTTTAATTGCTGTTTTTGGATAAGGTCCTGTGTAGCCTTGGGTCAACCAAACTTTCATTGTAGCTAAGGATGACCTTGAACTCCTGGTGCACCTGCCTCTGCTTCTTGAGTGTGTGGTCCACCCCTTTGGGGTGGTGTTGATAGAGCTCAAACTCCAAGGTGTGCACATACTAGGCAAGATTGAGTCTACCAGCAGAGTTCTGCGTCCAGCCATTCCCAGTAGGTTTTGACATCAACATCATGTTGCAATATGCTTGAAGTATTGGGGTTTATTGATTTGTTAGTGAGTTGGTGTGTGAGTGGATGACCACGTGTTTGCATCTCCGAGTTTGCAGCTGAATAATGGGGGACTGTAGATGTAACCAACTGTCTTATTAAACCAATGCAAAGAACCAGTTGCAAAGAAGAAAGCCAAGAGATCAGAGCTAAAAGCTAAAACCTTACCCTTCCTCCTGCATTGGTAGCTCTCTCCCAATGAGAGCTACTTCCTGTGTTAAAGTCTTTATAAAGACTTTCTGTTCTGCCTTCTCATTGGTTGTAAACCCAACCACATGACCGCCTTGTCACTGCCTGTCTGTATAGACCTCCAGGTCTTCTATGGTTGGTATTGAGATTAAAGGCGTGTGTATCCAATGCTGGCTGTATCCCTGAACACACAGAGACTTACCTAGCTCTGCCTACCAAGTGCTTGGATTACAAGTGTACGCCACCACCGCCTGGCTTTCCTATGGCTTGCTAATAGCTCTGACCCCCAGGCAACTTTATTTATTAACATACAAATAACATTTTAATACAAATAAAATATCACCATAGGGGACAGAACAAGGTCTCAGATCCCACAGAACTGGAGCAGCAGAGGTTTACACGAAGCCAAGTTTGATATATGTGGGTATTGGGACTGGAACACCAGTCATCACGGTTGCTAAACAGACACGGAAGTTTATTTTCCTACCTCTGAGGGTACCAGGCCCTGGGCCATTGATACACAGCTTCTGCTTAGGATCCCACTGAAGGTTGGGTTCAACATGGAGCAACAAAAGGGAAATGGACAAATGGACTCCATCAAAGCTCGGTGTTTGCATGAACTATGAACCAAAGGTTGAGGGGCCCCCAGCTGGATCAGGCCCTCTGAATAAGTGAGACAGTTGATTGGCTTGATCAGTTTGGGAGGAAACTAGGCAGTGGGACCGGGTCCTGTGCTCATTGCATGAGTTGGCTGTTTGAAACCTGGGCCTTATGCAGGGACACTTGGCTCTGTCTGGGAGGAGGGCACTGGACCTGCCTGGACTGAGTCTACCAGGTTGATCACAGTCCTCGGGGGAGGCTTTGCC